AGCAAGCGGTTGAGCAGCCTTAGCATATCATTAGCATATTACGCTTTGGTTGAACGGCCGATTGGACACTTAGAATATTAGGCTTTTATTATATAGGATGTTAACTTTCTACAATAAATTTATCTAATTTCACTTTCTCCCCAAACTTATCTAACATCTAAAAAAAAGTGTACTTTTGTTTTTGTTATTTTTAAACACAAACCCACAAGGTCAGGGAGAAAAGAAGGGGCGTCTCTCAACTACTGACTAGCCTAGATTTGCTTTGCTTAGATGATCATACTTAGCCATTACTTACCCTAGAAACAATTAAAATTAAGAAGCACTTCACTACTGTTCTACTTTAATCTACCTGTCATAATAACAGGCATGCCAATCAGTGATTCCCAACTCATACTTCCTTTTTAAAAAGAAAATGTCCAAATCACAGCCTTTGAAAGAATCTGCCCTATGTGCTCTGGTACAACTGACCTACAATGGGTCAACAGCTTCACAGGGAATCTGGAATTAGATCAAAGAGGTAGTGCCCACTTAAACTAAACTGAAAGAGCGTGGGGCATAGGGCCTGAATCAGCATTAAGGCAAGACAAGCTGACATTATAAAGAAAGGAAAGCCATGAGTAAACAGATTCGCAAGTTTACGAAGAAAAACAAAGTAAATCAAAGAAAGAGAGAAAGACGGACATTGGGGACCATAGAAGAAATGGATGAAATCATCATAGTTCCCCCATGGCCCAGCAGCACTTCATATATGTGCTACTGTATCCTTGTAATAAATCTTACAAGCATTAATTAAATTCATGCTTTGGCAGAAATACTGTACCATCAACTCTTACCAAAGAATCTGCCTGTCACTTAACTGCTATCAAAAACTCAGATGCCGCCCTAACTGGTTTGGCTCAGTGGATAGAGCGTCGGCCTGCAGACTGAAGGGTCCCAGGTTCGATTCCGGTCAAGGGCATGTACTTTGGTTGCGGGCACATCCCTAGTAGGGGGTGTGCAGGAGGCAGCTGATCGATGTTTCTCTCTCATTGATGTTTCTAATTTTCTATCCCTCTCCTTTCCTCTCTGTAAAAAAAAAAATCAATAAAATATATATTAAAAAAACACAAAAAACCCCAAAAACTCAGATGCCTACAGGACAGTGGTCGGCAAACTCATTAGTCAACAGAGCCAAATATCAACAGTACAACGATTGAAATTTCTTTTGAGAGCCAAATTTTTTAAACTTAAACTATATAGGTAGGTACATTGTTATTAACTTAATTAGGGTACTCCTAAGGCTTAGGAAGAGCCACACTCAAGGGGCCAAAGAGCCGCATGTGGCTCGCGAGCCGCAGTTTGCCGACCATGGCTACAGGGAATAATCAGGTGAAAGAAATGGGATAGCAACATCTAAGGTTTTTTTCTTTAGATCTAGACATGCTTTATGTTCATATTAAATCTGTAAAAACTCTCTTCCCTTCTATACACACAGTATCTGTCCTCTGCTACTTTTCCTGGTCTACCTTTTGTCTTCCGCTTTCTACAACAGATAAAGACACAAGAAAAAAATGACAACTAAAGGTGATGACATATACCAAGGCACATACAGCCTTGCTGGCTGGGAAGTAATAGTGCAAGGTGGTAAACTAGAAAGTAATTTACTACCTAAAGAGAACAATCGTTACTCAGTTTTAACTAACTGTCACCATACAGACCCTAAATTTAAATTTTCAAGAAAAGACAAAAATCTAGATTTTTACATAAAATTTTTTTATTTTATCTATCTATCTATCTGGGATTAATCCTCACCCAAGGATGTTTTTTCTGCCATTGATTTTTAGAAAGGGTGGAAGGGAGGGGGAGAGACAGAGAGAGAGAAACATCCATGTGAGAGAGACACATTGATTGGTTGCCTCCCACGCCCGACCTGACCAGGGGCTGGGAACCAACCCTGCAATCAAGTTACATGCCCTTGACTGGAATCGAACCCTCAACCCTTCAGTCTGAGGGCGACACTCTAACCACAGAAACCAGGGAGGGCGAAGCTTCTAGTTTGTAAATGTTGTCAATAAATTTAATTTTCTTCTAAAATGATATAGGTCAGTTCATTGGCTGCCAATTTGCAATCATAGTGTGGACCTCTGTATTCTTTTATAACTTTTCAGATTTTTAGTTTCCCTAGATGTTTATTTAACATCCAAAAATATGCAAGGCTTGTAGCTATATATTAGGCAAAAGCACTACAAAGGTTGAGCCTCATTCATTTTTCTCCTCACGTTATTTTAAATTTAACATGTTAGTCCTCAGAAAGAACTTAAAACTAATATTAACATCTTAGTTATTAAATTCAAAATCATGCCATTCAGTCTAAAAGGGCAGCGATGGAAACTCTTCAAAATTAACTGCCTAGACTAGTTTGAAAACCTGTTTACAGATGCTATGTCACTTATGTAAATACATATCTGGCATCTGGGCCTTTGCATCTGCTGTTCTTTTAGCCTGGGAGGGCTGCCACCTTTAGGAAGCCTTATGTTCTCCCGTAATATCCTCAACTTACCTCTCAGAGCTCACTACACACACTACTGAAATCGTGCCATTATTCTTTATTTCCCCAAGAAGACTATACCCACCTTGAGAATAAGGCCTATAACAGAAGTTAGAGCTGCAGCTCCAGGAGCATGGCAAAACAAAAGCATGCAGGTGAAAAGGTAGGAGACAAATTTTGGCTCAGTATTAGAGAAAAAAAAAATCCAACTTTCAAATAACTTGGAGCTACCCAGCAACACAATCAGCTTCCGTGGTGGGCAGAACAATGTCCACAGCCCCCCTTCACTGCCACCCCATAAAAGATGGCCAGGTCCTAACAACCAGAACCTGTGAATATGTTATGTTACATAGCAAGGGCGAGTTAAGGTTTAAGAAGGAGCAAAAGTTGCTCAACAGCTGACCTTGACACGGGAAAGCATCCTATATTACCCACACGGACCCAATGTAACCACAAGGGTCTTTATATGTGCAACAGGGAGGCACGAGGAAAAGAATACAGCTTCCTTGGGGTGCAGCGTCCTCTTCCTTAACAGAAGATGCTCAAGCAGAGGTAGTGTTCACGGTGTGGGGGGCATGGGGGAGGGTCAAATGTCACCATACATCAGATAAAGGATTGCCTAAGTGAGTTTCTAAAGGCATGCGTCCTTCAACTGGGCTTAAGGAACACCTCTGAACCTGCATGAACACACGCCCCTTTCTCTGTGGAGACGATCTGGACTAGAGCATCCAAACATTCTCAAAAGGATCTGTTTTACAAACAAGGTTAAGAACACTCTTCCCAGGTTATTTCCAACCCTGGGCTTTTACTATTCCATGATTTTTCTAAGGCAGTGAGTCCGTCTCAAAGTGTAGCCCGACAAACACCAACACAAAACATCAAAACTCATCCAACCCCAGGCAGCTCTCTGGGGGCTGTAGGAAAAGTTCAAGGGACCCCCCTCCCCCCGCCCCCCGAGTGCACAAATTTTTGTGCACCGGGCCTCTAGTAGTTAATAAACTGGGAGGAAAGAAAAGTCTAGACACAGTTAAAAAACAAAACAAAACATTGTTCCAAGTATTTTATGAAACATTAATCTGAAGAAACTGAAATAAGTCGTTCCCATCACCAAATCCTTAGAAATCTCAGTGTACTCATCTTACCGTGTCGCTTTGTGTAACTTTTTTTTACCCCCCTGAGCCTCGGGTAGCCCAGAATGTAGGCAAATATCTACTGCACCTAATTTTTTTTAGATTAAAATTCATTCTGTGTAGTGCCAGAATGATGACTGGCAGGTTATGCATCACATTCAAAAAAATGTTAGTCCTAGGACCCCGCCCCACCCACGTGTAAATAAAAAATAATGCCTTATGCATACACGGTTAAGTACCGGAAGAATTGTTACTTATGTCAATCATCATTAATAAATGCGGGTTTCCTATAATAAACTTCATGATCTGATTTCCCCGCCTAATTTTTCACTCTTTCACGCTCACGCTTGGCCGGACCTACGGCCGGGGCGCGGTAGGCATTGACAAACCAAGTCCTTTGCCGGCGTCGTGCGGAGCAACCGAAGACCTAGCAGAGAAGACCTCCCGCTCCACAAAGGCCGCAAGAATGAACAGCCCAAAGTGGCTTTTTGAATCTCAGCAACTTAGGCAGCTTTTCCCTGACGGGGACGCCTGACGACCCTAAAGGAACCCGAGACGCGACTGGGAAGGGGCCTGAGGGAAGGGCGTTTGGGACTTATCTTCGCGCCCTTCCAAAAAAACAAACACCCAAATTCCAAGGCAAGGTCAAGGGAAGCCATACCAACCCGGGGGCCACAGACAGAGTCAGGCTCTCCCAGCTCCCAAGGAAGCCCTTCGGGGCATGCACTTCCCAGGCGGCCAAGTCAGCTGACCCCTCTCCCGAGAGAAGGCCCAGGGAACAGAGCCCGAGTAGGGAACAGAGAGCCCGAGTCCCTCCGCACCCAAATTCAGGCCCTCCATGAAACAGCCCTTGCCTGACCCAGGCCCAGCGTTCAGCTCCACAGAGAAAGCCGAGCGAGCCGCGGCCACTCACCCCGCAGCCACTGCGTGCTGTGAAGCCATCTCCAACCAGCCCCGCCGCCGGCAGGCCACCCAGCAGCCCCCGTAACCAGCCCCAGGCCTCGCCGGGCGCCGAAGCCTAGGAGAGAGCGCAGCATCCGCCGGTCACAGCCTAGCCTCCAGGAGGCCGCCATCTTTCCGGCCTTTTCGCAGGCTCGCCACGGCGCTGCCAGCTCACTCAGTCATCAAGCCCCTCCCAGGCTCCGCCTCTCACCCGACTAGCCACGCCCCCTAGGTTCCAGTCGCACCCTTGAGTCTCCGTTAAAGCCTCTTAGCCCCACCCCCAACCTCGTTGGCCCCGCCTCCCTGCCAGGCTGCAGCGCCGCAGGC